CCCCAAAACCCCAAAACCCCAAAACCCCAAAACCCCATTGGACTTATTAACGATTGAAATATTTATTTAAACATAAGAAAATGAACGTGAAAAAGGGAATGTACATTGATACTCATCAGCCTACAGGGATCCACTCTAGCAGAGTTTATCGAAGTAAGTTAGATTCTTTTTATGTAATTTATCAAACTGAATTTCTCCTCAAGAACTCTTATATCCCTTATGGGTCTCCAATAAACAATCTGTTTAGGTTTTTATGACAGAATAAAAGATAATCAGCTGAGTACCATGCAGAAGATATCACAGAAGAGATTTAACCAGAATATCTCGGAGATAAGGTATAACTATTCCTCATTTTAGTATGATGAAGGACAAACCTGATATATCAGCACGATCAGAGTACTTGATCTCAAAATCACCAGCCTAAAAAGCCATTGTACCTAAAGGATGCTGAAGATTATTACAAGTTAACTTTATGATAATATTTAGTAAATAAGAATACTCAGTTGGTCAAAAACAATATGATGAGGCAGAAGAAGGAACTTCAGGAGTGCACCTATAGACCAGATATCGCTAAATCGTAAGCATATAGCTCTGAATAATAGCCAAGGCTCTAAGAGCCTCAAGAGAAGCATCAATGACCTGTACCAGTGGAAGGACAAAAGGGATAGAGCCAGGGAAAGAAGAGCTGCTGAAATCAATCATAAGAAGTGGCAAGAGTATTACGATATGTCTCATTCAAAGAACCTAGGTAAGACATTAGTGACTAAAATCCATCTTATATTTTCCAAAGATTATTCCAAACCTCAATGTATAGTCTCTCCATTATCAAGAACGATGGCTTCTAGGTCAAGAGGTAAAGGTGAAAGAATCGAAGACAGACTTTTGAGAGAAGGTAAAGCTACAGAAAAGAGAAGAAATAAAAGACTTGAACAAGAAACTCTCAAGTTCAAGAAATGTAAGACTCTTGGTTATGCTTTAGGTAAGAATAAACATGCAAGCAAGCTGAAGAATAGTATGAAGAAAAAGAATAAGAATTTCACACTGGATAATATCCAGAGACCTGTTGTAAGAGGGCTTGATATAAGATTTAGACTAATTATTCTCAAATATCGTCTGAGTTGAGAAGCTCTAATTGCATGACCATTCAGGATATTTGCACACCAAATAATGCTGTATTTTTATGTCTGATTGTTTAGATCCATAACAAAAGCTTAAAGAATCCTAAAATTATTCATTATCAATCTAACAATGCAGAGCTAGAGAGTAAGGTTTACTTCTGATTTTAAGTGTCAAACCAACAACTCTATGAAAATAGTCCTGGATACAATTTGACTACAAGAAATGTATATGGATCTTTAGTAAGCAATGGGCCTCAAATGCAGATGAAATCACCTCCCAACTCGACACCCAAGAAAAATGTTTGTAAGCCTGTCAAATACGAATCATTGATGGACAAACTATGAAGGATGAACAAAATGAAGCAGAGCCCTTCTGAAGAGCCTGAGATTGAGAGGATCTACGAGCCTCTTCCTCAAAGAGTTGGATATGAGAAGCCTTTTGTTAGAAGTCTAGAGGATGAGTACTTCTCTATCTCTAAGCCTTGAGTATTTCCCGAGGAACAAGAATCCCAGTAAGTTATTAAGTTTCCAAATTATTCACCGATCTGCTTTAGATCGAATAGGAATAGAACAGATGATGATGAGTACAAACAGAAGCTAGAACAAAGCGTAATTGAGAAAATACTAGATTCTGAAGCAAGTTATAAGTCAAGGCGTGAGATAGGATCTCCTTATGATAGAAGAGTTATCAAACCCGACGAAAGATTCACTTTCCAAGATAACATTAATCTTATGAAAAATCTACTAGATCATGAAAACAAAGAGGTTGCTTCTTTAAAGCCAAACGAGGATGATAAAATCCAGAGTATCTTGTCTGATAAATTTACAAGCATTATTGACACTTTCCCCATTTCTAGTGAAGTTAGTAAGAATCAGAAACAGGATGACAAGGTAAAGTTTTAGCCTACATCATTAGAAACTCAGTTGAAAGTGCTATTTGATAAAGCCAGAGTAATTTAATAACTCTTAGATGTCCTCAACCTTATATTTGGTAGTCTTTGCACCTGATATGAACTCTTTTTCTTTAATTGAGTTTATCTGTAGCGATTTAATGAAAGCTGATTTCGTTTTTGACAATTTTGCTGTCCATAATACATTTAATAGATCAAGTATATATAATAGAACTAGAACACCGTGATCCACAGGACAACCAAAAAGGTACATCTCTCTTACCCTTCTAGATCCCCAAAACCTGCCTCCAACTCCACTCAACCACCTAGCCACCCTCTTCCCTCACAAGATTCCTTCGAGCACAGAATTCTTCCACAAAGACGCATCGCTTAGCGAAGACTTTGACTTCAAAAGCCACTAACAAAGGTTCAGTACTATACAAGAAATAGATAATGAGAACTAGAATTCATATTGATAATAATTCCATTTTATTTATTAGAATTGGGGTTTTGGGGTTTTGGGGTTTTGGGGTTTTGGGG